CACACCTATAGAAATATATTTTTTTTACAAACCTTTTATGTGCCACCTTGTCAAATGCTTTCTGAAAATCTAGATACACGAAACTGACACCCTTACCCTCATCTACATATGTAGTATCCTTTTGAAAGAATGTCAAAATATTTGTAAGGCAAGATTTTCCTATAGTGAAACATGTTGACTATCCAATAAAATTCTAAACTTTGTTAAATGGCTTTGCAAAGTATCTTTTATCAGACTTTCCAGAACGTTTCTCACAACTGATATAAGACTAATGGGCCTACAATTGCTGGGACAATTTTTTATCATACATATGATATATGAAATTGCAAAAGAACATTTTAAGACAATTTTTTATAGTTTCTCAAATGAACAATACCTTTTCCTAAGTTGTACTAGTCTCTTTGATGTAATCACAATATTTTATTCATAAAACAGGTATAAAGACTATTTTACTCATGATATGAGGACTTTGCTAAAGGGGAAACAACAAAATTATCAAATTATATAGTTAATTTTAAAGTATTTTGTTGGGTTATAACTTGATAGTTGCACAAATTCTTTATGACAATTTTAAAATGCTAAAAATATTTATATAAATCCCTTAATTATAATGTCAGGCTTTAGTGGTTTTTTTTCTTGCTTAGTTAGTAGCAGGTTACACTTTCTCATGGAAAATTTTGATGGAAAAAAAAATGTATTTCACTTTCTGATTTCAATGCTAACAGGAACAAGAAAAAATATTTTGGTACCTAACATCTAAATGTTTTTATTCATCTCTTAAATAACTATCAGAATGGGAAAAATGATTATATTAGCAAAATAATAAATATCCTGACAGGAGGTTAAACTACTAAATGTTTCATGGTTGATACAGGACAAATTAAACTAAGAAGGTATAACAGTGCTAGTAAACAAATGACAGTTACTACATGTATTAATAAAAATAATATCAAATAAGTAGTTTACTTTGAATAAAGAAGTATTTAATATTCTTTACACAAAATATACATTTTAACTTGAAGACCTCAGTATCTCAAAATAAAATCTTACCTTTATATTTTTTCCCAAACACTTTGAATGCAATAAAAAAAAAGAGATTCAGGCTAAAAAGTCAAGATTTTCTCACAATGTGTCACAATTAACAACAAAAACAGAAGTACAAATTTGATAAAACTTCCTTTGCAGGAAGAGGATCTTTAAAAGATCAGTTAACAGAGCTATTCATCCAATAGATATCCTGAGACAGTCAAATATTTGTCTGTAGTTAAGCATAAAGCTACACATTGGGCTATCTGTACTGTGCCCACCATGGGTATCAAAACTAGTGTCTAATGTTATAAGTCTGCAGACTTACCACTGTGTCAATGGGGGGCAACAGTCAACTGTATTCAAATACTTACATTTTTCTTAGCCTTACACAAGAACAACTGAAATAATGTGTTGACTTACAGAATGTTTTACAAAAACAGGTGTCATTTGAATTTTTCACTCTATTATTATATTTGCTTAATGAGCATACTTTTCTTTGTTATCTTATCACAGTGTGAATATGCAGAAGATGTAAATTAACCCTTACAATATATACATAATAAATACTTAACTAATGTATTTTGATTTACAGTATGTTGATCAAGACAACTAAACACTTAAAAATGTCTTCTGACTTTTTCCTTCTTATTTTTTAAAACCATTTCTGTAATTTCAGACATAAAGTACTTTTAATGTACCATGTTATTTAAAAAAACGTACCTACAATAAAAAACAAAGAGAAAAGGACAGAAAAAGAGAAAGTATGAAAAGAAAGCCTGTCTGGCCAACCTTGTCCTTTTTTAGCTCCTTGCATATCCTCAGCACTAGTATACCATCTGTTAGGCCACTTACAGACAAACCTATGGAGTAGGAAGTAATATTGGAAAAAGTTCTAGAGAATGAAATATTTAACAGATTAAATTCACTTCTGCACTGGTGACAAGAGTAGCTCATCACATAAAAATATAATTGGCAGTTTTTTCAGGATGATACTTTAACTTGAATGAAAAAGTAAAACACCTTTAATATTTAGTATTAGCAATAAAAAAATCTATTTAAAATTCCCATTTAAGTTAAAAATAAAAACGATAGATTAATATCTACTTTCTTGTTTCATTGTAAAAGGAAAAAGTCTTAAATATGAAACAGAAAATTCTTATTTTTAACTTTTATATAATAAAGAAAATAACAATACTAACAAACAATATACAACCAGTCAGTAACTTTATATTCAGTATAGCCCTAAAATTACATCTCAATTCAACTTGATATTAGTATATTTCTAATTCAGGTGATAATGATGAATAATTAATTTATTCACTTATACATTTTCTTGGTTTATTCAAATATTTTTTTTTATTTTTTTGCACAAGAAAATTTGATTTAAGTAAACTTCCTACCCATTAAGTTTTGATAGTTTAGTCGATGTTTTAGTTTACAATCTTTATCATCTAATAGATAGATGGCTTTGGTGGTCAAAACAAGGATTCTTCCACGAGCCTTGTAGCCATGACGATCAAACTTTGTAACCTGTGTGCAGTACTGAAAACAAACACAATAACTAAGATAAAAAGAACTTGACCAGTGGTCATTTCTTACAACTGTTTACATAATATTACAAGCATATACTGCCATGAAAGCTAAAACTTGGAGTCGAAAGCAAAATAATTCACTATATCAGACAGGAATACCTAACTGTGCTTGTTTCATTATTATTGGACTATTGATGTCGAGTTTGTAAAATACTAACTTCCATTGTTAAATGATATCTTTTTATGGGTTCATATAAGTTATCATTTGTATTAGACAATAACATTAGTCTTATCTTATATTTCTGTACTTGAAAAGAAAACTATAAAATACAATTACCTGTTTATCAGAAAAAAAAATTAAATAAATTGTGAATTGGAGATGTATGTAAAATGAGTTTGTTTTATTGATGGTGTGGTATTACTGGATTAGATGAATAATGGCACACCGGTAAACTACCATCACATAACAAGAGGTTTGAAAATTTGGTTGAATGGAATGTTAATGTTAGAAAACATGCAAAAGAAGAGAAACAAACCAGTTTGACAAACACAATTAAGTACTGTTTATTTTACATTACAAAACTGTATTACATTTTCAGATTGAAAAGAAATCAAAGTAAAATAAAACTAAATTAACTTAAACTCAAAATATGTCAATGCATGATCAGCATATGCACAATAAAGAACCTACATGAAAACACAGCACTTTACACCATGTAATAGCACTTTAAAAACAGAAGCTAATTTTCCCAAAAGTTTTGGAATTACACTCATTATACACATTTTCTCTATAGCTGACCAACTACAAATAGGATTGCAAACATCCATAAATATCTCTGTTCCATGTGACAGTTGTAAAGCAGTTCTACATACACAAGATAAAATAGAACCAAATACATTGATCACATGAAACAATAAATAAGTCTGTTGACCAGGCCAGCTACACAAAGTAACACTTCAATCTGAATTAAACATATGATCTTGACTAGATTTAAGATGTTATAAATTAGAGCTTTAGATAAATTCAAGTGTTTTGTACATACAAAATATATATGTTATGGAACAGTAAGACAGTGGCATTTCTAGGACTGGGGGTTAAATAAGTAAAACGTTATTTTGAGTTAGATATGGGGCTACTGGGGGGTAGATTTCTGCCACCTCCACAGTGAACATGCCACTGGAGTGATATATACTGTATTAATTGCATACTACAATTGGATTACACAATTTAGTTTTGTTCTGCCTTTAAAATTATAAAAATAAATATTAAGACAGATTATAATTAAGTTCCTATGCACAATAGTTCTCACCAAAGTCTTTTCATCTTCTGGTTTGGTAGTTTTGTCAAAGGCACTCGATTTAAGAGAATTTTGTTCAGATGCTACAAAAAAAGTTGTTAAAGGTATTATCAAAATTTCAATATTTAAACAACATGAACTATTTCAACAGTCATACACGTTTATTATGCTATCTTATATAAAGATTATTAGTTTAAACTACCACTTACAAGATTAAAATACTTTGAAGATAAAACAGGAAAACATCCAAATATAATTTTATTGCAGTTTATGACCTTTAAACTCTTAAGATGATTTTTAAGTTATATTGCTTGAATTTTTAATTTCTGCTCAGTTCAAGAACAATGAACTCAGAAACAGAAATCTCAGTTTTCAAATCTTAAAAGCTATTAAATACAAGTGAAAATTCTGATAACATATACATATTTTAACTCTTCTTTAATGAACTTCATTATCAAGGTGTATGTACTAGATGAAATTAAATATTATGGCTGGCTTATATATACCTTGTCATACCATGAATAGTATTTTCAAATAACTTTGACACACTGTGAAGTTTTGTTCTCTCATTACAATTTTATGTTTTTTAAATTTATTGCAATCTACATTATATTGTTAGAACACCAATTAAGTTATTATTCAGCCTAAAATATCATAAGAAACTTCATCCACCTATTGGTAGTTTTTTAGAAACATTTCAGTTTGCTAGATATGAAGAGCATGAACAAATATAACATCCAATAAAACACTAACAGGTATGTAAAATCCATTAAAATCTTTCAGCTGAATCACAATCTTCCACCCAAAATTTCTATACAACTTACTCAGTCTGTTTTCAACAAATGGCCTTGCAATACTTTTAGGGTAACTTTGCTTCTTGTTTTTAAAGAGGTCATGGGCCACAACCTTTTGGTCAAGCTGTAAAATGAGTTCAAACATATTTAACTATAATTTTTAAAACAAGGTGTGATAATATAAAACCTTATTTTAAAACATCAGTTAATCTAAAAGAAATAAAAATTAAAGTCCTCTACGTTAAAGAATGTTTAAGTAAGAAAAAGGAACTTCAGAACATCAAAATTTAAATTGACTGGTATGATGGGAGATTTAGAAGATTATATAAGATCAAAAGAGTTGGTCAAACAGAGAATTAGGACATCAGGACAGATGTACAAAAAAAAGGTTGGCTGAAAATGGAAAAATTAACAGTAAGGATTTCTTTTAATACATTAAGGGTAAACAAAATTTAGGGTTATTAGATTCTACTTTTCCTTCAGTTTTTACTAATGAAGATTGAGGCAATATTCCTTATCCTGAACAGTTGTTAGATGGAAACAAGATCGGAAAAGATGATCACATTAATTCTAAGCTTGTTAAGAAAAGATTGGGAAGTTTTAAAAAATGATAAGGCTCCCCAAGGGTTTTGAAGGAGGTTAAGGATTGGATTTGTAAGCCACTTGCTACTAATTTTTATAAGTCCTTGAATAATGGGTAAGTACCAGAGGATTGGAAGTTGGCTAATGTTACTTCTCTTTTCAAGAGAGGTGACAAAAATTGTCCCAGTAATTAATGGCCTATTAGTATTATGTCAGTCGTGGGAAAAGTTTTTGAAAGTCTTATAAAAAATGCTTTGCAAAGTCGCTTAACAAAGTTTAGAATTTTATTAGATAGTCAACATAGTTTCACTAAAGAAAAATATTGCCTTACAAATTTCTATTGTTTATGTAGATGAGGGTAAGGGTATAGATTTGGTGTAAGGATTTTCAGAAGCATTTGTTTGTTTTTGAATTTCGCGCAAAACTACACGAGGGCTATCTGCGCTAGCCGTCCCTAATTTACCAGTGTAAGACTTGAGGGAAGGCAGCTAGTCATCACCACCCACCGCCAACTCTTGGGCTACTCTTTTACCAACGAATAGTGGGATTGACCGTCACATTATAATGCCCCCACAGCTGAAAGGGTGAGCATGTTTGGTGTGACACGGATTCGAACCCGCGACCCTCAGATTGCGAGTCGAGTGCCTTAACCACCTGGCCATGCCGGGCTCAGAAGCATTTAATAAGATGCCACATAAAAGATTTGTAAAAAAATTATTTCTGTACATATGGGGGATAAGTTAGCTAAATGGAGAGAAAAGTAGCTGGATGGAAGAAAGCAGAGGATTGCTATAAATGGAGTTCAGTCAAACTGAATTAATGTCACAAGTGGGGTAACCCAGAGCTCAGTTTTAGGGCTTTTGCTCATTTTGATTTACTTCAATGACATAGATGAAGGAATGACCGATAAATTACTTAAATTGGCTGATGATATTACGGTCTTGGGTGTTGCTGGTTGTGGGGAGGATGCTGTTACTTTATAAAATAAAAAGTAGATCATTTAGTGAGTTGGGCAAATAAATGGCAGATAGGTTTTAATTATAATAAATGCATGATAATGCATGTGGGTTATCATAATTTGATAAGATTATAACTGGGCTGGAAAAGTTGTCATATGAGGAGAGGTTAAGATCTCTGAAACTGTTTTCTATTGAAAAAAGAAGAGTTAGAGGGGATCTGATTTGAGGTGTTTAAGATTGTTAAGGGAATTAATAGTGTTGATGCCTCATCTTTTTGTTAGTTAATGGTGAGAATGATAGGACTAGGAGGCACAAATCCACTCAGTTTTATTTTTTATAACAAGGTAGTTGGCTTTTGGAATAGGTTGCTTTCAGTTGCGGTGGAAGCAATAAATTTAAGTGAGTTTAAGGGAAGGCTTTATAAGTACAAGGATGATGATAAGGGCTGGCTCTGAGTTGTTTTTTTTAAATACTTTAACTCATGTTTAGTGGATAGGGCAGCCTAGATAGACCAATAGGTCACTTGTTGTTTCTAAATATTATGTTATATGTTATCATAACATATTTTAATAATAGTTCAATACTGAAGTTTACATAAAATAAAGATATTTTGGGAGTAACGTACAGTATATTAATTTTGCTTGCTATACCTGAGCTTTTCGTTCAGCAGAAATAGACTTGCAGTATTTTCTGACCAGCCACTTCTTGTGCATGTCATGTAACAGATCTGAAGCCTTGAGAGGGAAAAAATCATCTATTAATACTAACTGACAAACTAAACATTTTTATGTTGTCATCAAATGTCACACAATTACATTTCTTACGTATATGTACTAGTAACAGTTCATATATTGTTAACTCTCTCAACATGGGTTTGGTCAATTTGACTGACCACGTGACCCCTTTGTGTTTATAGTTTTGATACTATTAACGTTTAATATAGTATGTATATCTTCACAAAATTTGGCAGATTTTCAGTAAACAATATAAGTCTTTCCCATACAAAAATAATTATATTTATAGTGAAGCATTTTTAATAAACTAAAAAAAAGATTTGTCTATGAATATATCAAGTATTTTTTTACTAGTCCACATGCAAAGTGATTTTCATGTTAAGATTAAAAATACTTTTCTTCATCTCAAAAATCTCAAATTTCATTTGTGTAGTCTCTAAAACCTCCTAAATACATTTCAAATATTTGTTTTCAGTAAAACTTTATATTTCATCTGTTATTTTCTCTATCCTAGCTCTATACAAGGATGGTCAATTTGACCAACCTCGTAACCACCAGAAAAAAAAAAATCTAAATAAATCTAAATTACCGTTTCTCTTTCTATAATGACTTCAAATTGTAACATGAAACTACACTCGTTTATCCTAAATAGCTTTAAACTCATAACAGTATACATCTATTTATACTTAAAATTTATTGTTTTATTGTAATTTGAACTGTGTATAACTATTATTCGTGCCATTATAAGTTGTAAATCACCCTACTTTTTTTATTCTAATGGTAGTAATGCACTAAATCATTTTTATTTAATTAAATAATGCACGAAAGAACATAGAATAACAACATGCAAAAAGCAGACAATATCCCCTAACTATTACAATTTTTCTGGCTTTTTAACTATGTGACAAAAACCATTACAAATTCATCCAAGCTAGTCGTTATCTTTCCCATGAGAATAAAGCTTGAACTAACTGAGAAATTGACAATTCTCTGTTCAGAAAACAACATAATGTAATACATCATTTGATATATGAAAAACCTTGGCTTTCTATTGGTTATGCATAATATAGTATTAATCGTAAGAGAGAACTATTAACAAGTCCTGAAATAGAGGATGTGACAGGTGGGTGTGGCAAAAGGGGTCTGATTTTCTATTTGATGGCTCAGTAACCAAACAAGATTGAAAG